ATTAAAATGGTCCACCCTGTATATGTATATATATATATATATATATATATATATATATATATATATATACAGAGTGTCCCACCTAGAAGTGGCCACCCCCTTTTATCTTTTAAACTAAAAGAGATAGACCATAACAAATATATATGAAATTAAATGGCTTTAACTAAACTTTATTGTGAGTATAGTGGTTGATTACAAAATGTATCTGTATTAAAGAACGGAGAGATATGTATAATTTTTTTATAATAATGTAGATATTTTGATATAATAAAAGTTGTAGCGCTGTTTGAAATAAATATAACGATGTATGATTTAATGTAAATATTTTACATATTATACGAGATTTTCCGGCTTGAAATATCGCTGGTGACGTCCACCATTTCATTTTCGGCCCTGCGATATAGCCAACTTCTGACTGAGTATCATGATTAAATAAAATGACAACATGACATATGTCAACCTCTAATGCACGAGTCAGAAGTTGACTATATCGCAGGGCCGAAAATGAAATGGTGGACGTCGCTCGCGATATTTCAAACCAGAAAATTTGGTATAATATGTAAAATATTTACATTAAATCATACATCGTTATATTCGTTTCAAACAGCGCTACAACTTTTATTATATCAAAATATCTACATTATTATAAAACAATTATACATATCTCTCCGTTCTTTAATACAGATAAATTTTGTAATCAATCACTATACTCACAATAAAGTTCAGTTAAAGCCATTTAATTTCATATATATTTGTTATGGTCTATCTCTTTTAGTTTAAAAGATAAAAGGGGATGGCCACTTCTAAGTGGGACACCTTATATATATATATATATATATATATATATATATATATATATTTACAGGGTGTCCCATTTTGAGTGTCCACCCCAAATATCTCTCTCATTTTTTATTTTAGAGAAAAATGGTTGACAAACATGTTTTGTATGGTTTCAAAGAGGCCATAAGATGATACCATTGATTTGAGCTTGAAGAGTCATTTGAAGGTCACGTGAAGGTTACCTCAATTTTTTCAAATGGCACTCCTTATTTTTTATTACATATTCTTGTGGCTGACCTCGAGAGCTTTCCAAAACTATAATCAAATGTTTTCTCGTGAAGTACTTTTCGAGTTATAAAGCTCCAACTTTACAAAATTTTGATAAAAATACAAAATATTTTGTAAAACATTCACTTTCCGATAGTCCTCTTACATGATCCAGCCAGTCAAGGCAAGATCCGAGCATGATCCAGCCAGTCAAGGCAAGATCCAAACATGATCCAGCCAGTCAAGGCAAGATCTTGCCTTGACTGGCTGGATCATGTAAGATAAGACTATCGAAAAGTGAATGTTTTACGAAATATTTTGTATTTTTATTAAAATTTTGTAAATTTGGAGCTTTATGACTCGAAAACTTCACGAGAAAACATTTGATTATAGTAGAATCAATAGAAAAATTGTAGTCGACCAAACTAGCCAAAAAATTAAGTTTATTACTACGACGTTTCGACCATGTGGTTGTGGTCCTTATCAAGTATACACTAAAAAAGATTTATCAATACATAAATTAACGGTTTGAATACATAGTAACGCACAGAGAATTAAAGTGTGAAAGATTTTCACCGATGTAATAATAATCAGAAGACAACATTAATGGTGAACATGTAAAACCACGTAATCACATAATACAAAAAAAAACGTTATTTAATTAAATTCAAATTTGAGAGAAGCTGATGCGTCCATGTGAGACTTCGTCAATAAACTAAACATAACAGGAAGAAAAGCGGTACTAAGTGACCTTAATAATTTTGTCGTAAATATTATTCAAGTTATCTGTGTCAGTCTGTAAGTTGATTAGATTTTTAGATCTCTTGATAAAGAACATCTCAACTATCTCTCTTTTACGAACGTACTTTTCGTTGTGCAAGATATTCGGTTTCGACCAATCGAAATCGTGTCCGGATTCCAATCTATGTTTGCTAATAGCGGAGTGATTAGACTCATGTAATTTTATATTGTTACAATGTTCTTTCACTCGGGTCCGCAAATGTCTTTTTGTTTGCCCAATGTATGATAAATTGCAATTCCTACAGTTTAATTTGTATACAACACTTGTCTTGTCGTTATTGTGTAAGGTATCTTTACCACATCTGATTGAGTTATTAAGTTTTTTGGTTACTTTGTAGATGACGTTGAAACCACTGTTTCGTAGAAGACGGTAGAGATCTTGACTCGTATTCTCTACGTATGGTATAGTGATAAAATGAGTTTTATCTGGATGAGTAGAATTGGCGTCATCAATGTCATTGCAGTCACAATTGTTTAAAAAATTAATTCTTTTTCGAATGTGTCTATGAATAATATGTTCAGGAAAACAATTATTAACTAACGTATCATATATTAACTTAACATTCTCTTGTTTAAAACAGTCGTCAGATATTAAAATCGCATGGTCAACTAAATTATAAATCGTATTAATTTTATATTTTAACGGGTGATTTGAGTAAAAATTAATATATCTCCCGGACCATGTAGGTTTCCTAAACCAATTGGTGATAAGTTTTGTTCCCAAACGAATGATTTTAACATTAAGAAAACTAATCGAAGAATCAATTTCTTTCTCGTACGTGAATCTTAAACGTTCGTGGTAGTTATTAAAAATGGTTAAAATATCGTCAATTTTTGTGCGTGGTACAATTGTAAAAACGTCGTCTACATATCTGTAATACATGGGGACTGTAAAATTCAGTGAGTTAAGACATTGAGTCTCCAAATCGTCCATCACCATATCTGCCAAGATAGGTGACAGTGGAGAGCCCATGGGTGTGCCGAAGATCTGTTCGTAGAAACGTCCGTTAAAAGAGAAGCAAGTTGAATCCAAAATCAAGTCTATTGCAAATAAGAATTGAGATAAATTAAATTTAGTATTTTTTGCAATGTCGTCCCAGCGTTTTTTAATGGCGTTTTCAACTAACTCCCTTGGAACGCTTGTAAATAACGAAGTCACATCCAAAGAAATCATGATGTTGTCTTCATTAATGACTGTGTTCTTTATGTTTTGAGCAAAGGACCAAGTATCTTTAATAAATGAATTTGGTTTCTTTATAGATTTATACAGAATGTTGTGGATGTAACTCGGATGTACAACGTTTCGCAATTGCAAAAAATACTAAATTTAATTTATCTCAATTCTTATTTGCAATAGACTTGATTTTGGATTCAACTTGCTTCTCTTTTAACGGACGTTTCTACGAACAGATCTTCGGCACACCCATGGGCTCTCCACTGTCACCTATCTTGACAGATATGGTGATGGACGATTTGGAGACTCAATGTCTTAACTCACTGAATTTTACAGTCCCCATGTATTACAGATATGTAGACGACGTTTTTACAATTGTACCACGCACAAAAATTGACGATATTTTAACCATTTTTAATAACTACCACGAACGTTTAAGATTCACGTACGAGAAAGAAATTGATTCTTCGATTAGTTTTCTTAATGTTAAAATCATTCGTTTGGGAACAAAACTTATCACCAATTGGTTTAGGAAACCTACATGGTCCGAGAGATATATTAATTTTTACTCAAATCACCCGTTAAAATATAAAATTAATACGATTTATAATTTAGTTGACCATGCCATTTTACTATCTGACGACTGTTTTAAACAAGAGAATGTTAAGTTAATATATGATACGTTAGTTAATAATTGTTTTCCTGAACATATTATTCATAGACACATTCGAAAAAGAATCAATTTTTTAAACAATCGTGACTGCAATGACATTGATGACGCCAATTCTACTCATCCAGATAAAACTCATTTTATCACTATACCATACGTAGAGAATACGAGTCAAGATCTCTATCGTCTTCTACGAAACAGTGGTTTCAACGTCATCTACAAAGTAACCAAAAAACTTAATAACTTAATCAGATGTGGTAAAGATACCTTACACAATAACGACAAGACAAGTGTTGTATACAAATTAAACTGTAGGAATTGCAATTTATCATACATTGGGCAAACAAAAAGACATTTGCGGACCCGAGTGAAAGAACATTGTAACAATATAAAATTACATGAGTCTAATCACTCCGCTATTAGCAAACATAGATTGGAATCCGGACACGATTTGAATTGGTCGAAACCGAATATCTTGCACAACGAAAAGTACGTTCGTAAAAGAGAGATAGTTGAGATGTTCTTTATCAAGAGATCTAAAAATCTAATCAACTTACAGACTGACACAGATAACTTGAGTAATATTTACGACAAAATTATTAAGGTCACTTAGTACCGCTTTTCTTCCTGTTATGTTTAGTTTATTGACGAAGTCTCACATGGACGCATCAGCTTCTCTCAAATTTGAATTTAATTAAATAACGTTTTTTTTGTATTACGTGATTACGTGGTTTTACATGTTCACCATTAATGTTGTCTTCTGATTATTATTACATCGGTGAAAATCTTTCACACTTTAATTCTCTGTGCGTTATGTATTCAAACCGTTAATTTATGTATTGATAAATCTTTTTTAGTGTATACTTGATAAGGACCACAACCACATGATCGGAACGTCGTAATAATAAACTTAATTTTTTGGCTAGTTTGGACGACTACAATTTTTCTATTGATTCTTTGATTACTTGACTAGCGACATTAAATTATTTACAATTTGATTATAGTGTTTTGGAAAGCTCTCGAGATCAGCTATAAGAATATGTGATAAAAAGTAAGGGGTGCGATTTAAAAAAATTGAGTTAATCTTCACGTGACCTTCAAATGACTTTTCAAGATTAAATCAATGGTACCATCTTATGGCCCCCTTGAAACCATACAAAACATGTTTGAACCATTTTTCTCTAAAATCAAAAATGAGAGAGATATTTGAGGTGGATACTTAAAATGGGACACCCTGTATATACGTATGTATATGTATATTTATTTATTTATTTATTTATTTCTATATTTGTTTATATATAAACTTACCGAATCGGCTGAGTAATGCTAGTTGATTGATTGTTAATTGATCAATTCCAAGCTCTTATCCATCTGTGAACACGTTCAAATCTGTCAACGACACGTTATCATATATTTTTATCTATGTTTTATCATTAATATATATTTTTATCATGAACAATGTTGATCTAGCAATATTTAAATTAAATAATTATATTAAGGGGATGCTGAACGTTCTTTTTTACCGACTGATCGATTATTTTACTCCTGCACTGGAAAATTTGTATTGGTTACATAGAATGACAAATCCTTTTTCACGATTAAAATACGCATAAAAAGATACGACGAGGTAATCGATTTGTAAGTAAAAAACGAAAAAAGTTAAAAAACAGTTGTAACTTAGTTGCCGCATTTCGCGATAGGCACTACAATCTGTTTCACTTTCGTGCCTCGATCTCGAACGCGTGCAAATGCAAATTTTTGTGAACCGAAATTAGCTTTATTATACTATGAAACTCATTTTTTAAAATTTATTTACATTCTTTCATGCAATCCCTTGCACGGAGTAGTCATACTTTGTATATACAAGCTGCTAAACTTTTAAAATAATAATATTATGGGACGCCAACAGCCGACAACATATATATATATATGTATATACAAGGTGAGTCATTTTAATCAATACACTCGAATATCTCGAAAACAGCACTCTTCAGAAAGAAATGTTTCAAACAAAAATTGTAGGGTGTGAAGGGGGACATAAGATGGTAGCATTGGTTTGACCTTGGAAAGTCATTTGAAGGACACATAAAAGTCACCTTCAATTTCTTAAATTGAATCCACTATTTTTCATTACATATTCTTGTAGCTTATCTCGAGAGCTTTCCAAAACACTACAGACAAATGTTTTTTCATTAAGTACTTTTTGAGTTATAAGGCTTCAAAGTTTGCAGTACTTCGATATAAAATGCAAAATATCTCGTAAAATATTTAGTTTTCGGTAGTCTTACCCTAATACTTTTATGCACAGGATAATGAGACAAAACTATTGGTGCAAAAAAAACGTATGATTGTTTATAACAAAAAGTGCATTGCAAATTACACATTTTTTATTATAAACAATCATACATTTTCTTTGCACCAATAGTTTTGTCTCATTATCCTGTGCATAAAAGTATTAGGGTAAGACTACCGAAAACTAAATATTTTACGAGATATTTTGCATTTTATATCGAAGTACTGCAAACTTTGAAGCCTTATAACTCAAAAAGTACTTAATGAAAAAATATTTGTCTGTAGTGTTTTGGAAAGCTCTCGAGATAAGCTACAAGAATATGTAATGAAAAATAGTGGGTTCAATTTAAGAAATTGAAGGTGACTTTTATGTGACCTTCAAATGACTTTCCAAGGTCAAACCAATGCTACCATCTTATGTCCCCCTTCACACCCTACAATTTTTGTTTGAAACATTTCTTTCTGAAGAGTGCTGTTTTCGAGATATTCGAGTGTATTGATTAAAATGACTCACCCTGTATATATAAATATATATATATATATATATATATATATATATATATATATATATATAGAGAGAGAGAGAGAGAGAGAGAGAGAGAGAGAGAGAGAGCGGAAGAAAGCATATAAGTGAGGGTAAAAGAAATATGAAATTGACAATGAGCTAGTAGCGAGTAATTAGAAAAAATAAATGGAACGTATACTCGAAAGAAAAAAGTACGAGACCGCATTTGTGTGTGTGTATATCCGTGTTCTTTTCGCATTTACTCGTCTCTCTTTCTTTCTTTTCCTTTCCGTAGTTATATGTATCTATCTTGTATATATTTTTGTAATGTAATTTGACTTTTCTTTAAATTAAAAAAATAGAAAATTATAACCTCAATTCTAAAAAAAAATATTCCTATTTTTTAAAAATATCTGGATTGTTTAGTATTTTGTAGAGAGTTATCAATTGTTATATATAATTATTTTTCAAAAAATTGAAAAGAAAAACAGTACGTACGAATCCAAATACAAAAAACATGTGACAAATTGATTTAGTGAAAATATCAAAGTATTTACATAAATTCAGGATAAATCATTGTGTGGGAAGAAAATTTATATTTTTGTTTCTTATTTATTCAATATATAATACTGTGAGAAACATTCAGTATAATATACAAAATTATTTATAAATAATATCAGTATAGTATTTATAAATAATATCAGTACGTGAGATCAGACATGTTATAACATATTTTTTATTATATATCGACATACAAAAAAAAATAAGACTAAAAAATAATCAATATTTTTTTTGTAAATAACAAATAAAAATGTCTTAGAAAAAAAATTCTTATTTCTCTCTCTCTCTCTTTTTTTTTCTTAACGGTTATTACTTTTTCTCATCTCACACACACACACACACACACACACACACACACACACACACACATGCCCGCACGCACGCACGCACGTACGCACAGACACACGTGATATATATATATATATATATATATATATATATATATATATGTAAATAAAATATATTTCAAACATACAACAATACAATTATAATTCAAACAATACAATTATACGAATCATTACACAGAAGATGAATATTATTATTATAAATCGCAAGAAACATTTTCGCAAGCTTGCGTAATTAATTATGCATATATATATTCTTGTAGCACCTTTAGTCAGAGAAACTAGAATCTATCAAGAATCTCTCAAAGAAAAGAAATCTTTATAAATTTTTATCTAGTTATATCTCTATAGTGTTTTATATAAACACTATTATGTGCTATACAATCAAGACATATCTATAACATCTTATTTTAAATAATTTATTTGCAAAATTTTATGAACATTGTCATGTTTTTAGACATGATATTTTATAATTTATGTATTTTTTATTACTTATTCGCGATAAATTTAGGCGCATAATCTTCGTAAAATTTTGCAAATATGATGTTTGTATAACACATAAATTACAATCATATAATCGCAAATAATTTAGACTAAGTTGTTACAATAATGTAATTGTTGTACAAACAGTAAAGAGGCGAGATATCACATAATATTATGTTGACCATTCAATGAAATAACATTGCAAAAGGATTTTTTTATAAAAAAAATTATTTCAATTATGTGAGATTGTTACATTAAATTTTTCTATAATGAAAAGCTTGAACAGAGATATATTATCATGTTTCAGAAAAAAAATAAGGCGGTAGGACGGGCGTTAAAAAGACATATTTATTAGGCATATTCAATATCTTTTTCGGTTCCTCATGGAATAATATCTCTTGTAGTTGTTTTCTTTCGAATTAATTTTAAAGACAGTATATATATTAGACAGTATATATATATATATATATATATATATATATATATATATTTATTGTGACGTGACGCCCGTGCGTTGTCCGTCACAGGGGCAAAGTGCCCGACCGAGAGAGCCTTTTTCGGGACTTGCGTCCTTCCGCTATAACGGCGGTCCTCTTTTGCGATTTCTCTCTCTTGCGTTTTCTTTTTGTGTATGCGCTTTTGCGCGCTCGTTTTGCGTTTGCGTTTCGTGTTGGCCTTTTCAGCGGATTTGGTACCGTTTCGTCTCAACCGGTCGTCGGGAGGAGGACAGCGGACAGGATGTGAGGAGATGCAGTGAGGACGGGGGTTCCGCCGATTAGAATGGAGCACGTCAAGTGAATCAATTTTGTTAATTCATCTTAATTCAAATTTGTTCGCTGCTGCGAACACATGCCGGCCCCTCCGATTTATTTCTTTTAATTACCGCAGCTCGGAAGAGGAGGCTCAAAGAAACTTAGAGAGGATGCGCACTCTACACAGCAACATCCCCGTGGGAGACCTCAATTCGGAGCGGCGTCGCGAGGACCCCGACTGGAACCGGACCGGCCCTACACTCGGGGCCGGGAGTATAACGGGAGTCACCCTGTGGAGATTACCGGAGGATTTCCCGAGCCTCGAGGAAGTCAGGCGGGGCAAAGGGCGTTTGCTGCCGAGAGTATTTCTCTTTGTGGCCGAGAATTTCCGGGGCTCATACAGCAGAATTACGGCCGTGATAAGAATCGGCCCGCGAAGGGCGCGACACGGTCCTGCGCCAATTAGATTCGGCGAGGAAAATCGGGGGAAACGATCGCCGACGTGTCTCCCGCGGACCTCACGCACCTCACTGTTCGGCGGACTAGCGATGCAAAAGGACGCAGATCCCGTTGAGAATACCGAGAGCTTTTTCTGTTGATGATCTTCGAGGACCATTCTGGTGAGACGAACGATCTTTCTGTAAGGCCAACAATTTCGCTGCTTTCGCCACTCGGGTGAATTGTGTCGGGCCCTCGATTTTACGTGTCAGATAATATCGATTATGCGCGTTTGTCGCACGTGGTCCATACGCCATTAACGTCTCCGTGCTTTCGCGATTTTGGGAAACACGCGAATAACAGAGGGGCCGAGCGATTCGTCCGAGCTTTTGTTGCAGGACCGCTGCTTCCCCGGAAAACGCCGCCTCCAGTCACCGTGTCATATTTCGCGTTATCGTATATTGTAAATTGTCCGCGTTTTCGTGAAATCTATCGTCGTTGTGAGCTTATTTCATCGTTATTTGCATAATCTGTGCGTTTCGGCTGTCGTAGTTTGTCGGAAAATCTTTATGTTTCGACCGAAACTCGTCGTATTAACGTGACGTCGTTGTATTGTCGTTGCTGTACGTCCTGCCGCATTCCATCGCGCGGGGCTCGCAAAGTATCGATTGCTGTCGGGTAGATCTTGGGCGGACGAGAACAGTATCGCGGGTGCGATTAATTGCCGCACCCTCATTAATCCGTCGGCTAATAATTTATTTGTCTTTCCCGGCTTTTCACAATAGATACGTATCGACCGTGTGATCCATGCTCTGTCTCGCTCGCTCTTAATCGCAGCCGTGCGCATCGATTGCGCTGTCCTTGTCTCGCTCACGGGTTTTGTCGCCGTAATATAAGACGCCGTAAATAAAACAAATTTCACCGAATTGCGACTGGTTGTGCGCGTGAAATTATGTCGGAATGACAACCATATGATTAAATACATTTTTTTTATTC